TGGGAAGATTTGCATAACGCCGCCCAAATGTTCACGCAAAGAAAGAAGGCGTAACTTTTATTCTCGCTGTAGTATTGTTGCTGCCGTCATGTCCTGAAGACGCTGTGTGCTTCGTTGTGAAAGCTAAACTACTTTGTTTGGTCTTCCAAAAGAGGACGATATCTGCTTCGTCATGCCTGGAGCTGATCCGTGCTGGTCGCTGAGGAAATACAACAACTTCACGCTGTGGATCGCCGGATCGGCTTTCACCGTGGACGAAGCGGAGTCCAGCCCGGGGTCGTCACATGTGGTTGCCGCAGGCATCACAGTATGGTAGGGGCGTAACATTTCCATCAACCGCTTGAGGAATTCGGCCAATCACAGCATACCTCGCTTTTTCAGACCGAAGAGCTTTGTAGAAATCGACGCGTTTCAGAAAGGCGGGGCATAGAGAAGAAACAATAATGTACAGTATGTGGAAAATAATGTGTTTTTTGAACCTTAAACCGGATAAACACATTTCATTACACCAAATACACAAAATAATGTTCTTTTTAGCAACATCATATGACCCCTTTAAAATAGAGACAATGCCTTTAAGATCCCATTTTTGAAGACAGATTAGTTCATCTGGAAAAAAAAGAAAAACATCTGAAATTCCATGGTTTAGCCACTAGAGCTTTATATAAAAGGCTATACATTTTCTAGTTGTTTTTAGACATAAATACTTATTTTTATTAAGTTGTGGATTTGGATTTATATGTAGACATTATCAAAGATAACTTTTTGTAAAGGTTTAGATTTTTTTTGTTTGTTTGTTTTTGAAATGATGGTTTGAAATGTCAGTTTCTGCATTGATTTTACTACAGTCAAACTTGAACACAGAGAAAGACATTTTGTTACGTATAACATCAAAATTCAACAGAAATGTAACAAAAATTAAAAGGAATGCTTTATCAGAGGTTAATCAATCTGATTTCAACTTCTTATTTAAGTTTTCTGGCTCAATTTTGCCATATTGTTACAGCCACACCAGTTCCTTTTTGTGTGTATAATGGTGTGTTTTGTGTGTGTGTTTGAGTGGGTGTGTCTGTTTTGTACGCTCAATGTTTTAGAGTGTCACCCCTTCCTTGGTGTCTGTGTTTTATTGATTTTATTTCACACATTTGCAAATTTTGCCTTACAGTCACACTAGTTCACACTGGGGGGGGGATTTCTGCATCGTGAATGATTTGTAGGTTGTACACACAAAAAATTATCTGTAAAATTCTCTGTATTGACTGCGAACAATGCAAGTGTGACTATTTTTTTTTCAACCACAGCTTTTTCGAATCAAGTCCACAATTTTGTTTTGGCAAAGTGCGCACACACACAGCAGTGAACACACACACACCGTGAACACACACCCGTAGCAGTGGGCAGCCATTTATGCTGCGGCGCCCGGGGAGCAGTTGGGGGTTCGGTGCCTTGCTCAAGGGCACCTCAGTCGTGGTATTGAAGGTTATAACATCAAAATTCAACAAAAATGTAACAAAAATTAAAAGGAATGCTTTATCAGAGGTTAATCAATCTGATTTCAACTTCTTATTTAAGTTTTCTGGCTCAATTTTGCCATATTGTTACAGCCACACCAGTTCCTTTTTGTGTGTATAATGGTGTGTTTTGTGTGTGTGTTTGAGTGGGTGTGTCTGTTTTGTACGCTCAATGTTTTAGAGTGTCACCCCTTCCTTGGTGTCTGTGTTTTATTGATTTTATTTCACACATTTGCAAATTTTGCCTTACAGTCACACTAGTTCACACTGGGGGGGGGATTTCTGCATCGTGAATGATTTGTAGGTTGTACACACAAAAAATTATCTGTAAAATTCTCTGTATTGACTGCGAACAATGCAAGTGTGACTATTTTTTTTTCAACCACAGCTTTTTCGAATCAAGTCCACAATTTTGTTTTGGCAAAGTGCGCACACACACAGCAGTGAACACACACACACCGTGAACACACACCCGTAGCAGTGGGCAGCCATTTATGCTGCGGCGCCCGGGGAGCAGTTGGGGGTTCGGTGCCTTGCTCAAGGGCACCTCAGTCGTGGTATTGAAGGTGGAAGAGAGCGCTGTACATTCACTCCCCCCACCTACAATCCCTGCCGGTATGAGACTCGAACCCACAACCTCTGTAAAGAAGATCTGTAAAGTTGCAAAAACTAAAGTCTCAAATCCAAAGAGATATTCTTATAAAAGTTAAGAGTCAGCCACACCCTCCTAAAACGGCTCATTCTAACACGCCCCCACATACAGTATCTACTGTAACGGGGCTGACGAGACGTGAGACGTGTGGATCCATCTGCCACTCAAATATTCAGATGTGTGCACCGCATTTGATGGAGGATGAGGACTGTTTCCTGGGAGAGTAGACTACAATGCCGGTGTCTGTTTCTATAAAGTGGGGCAATTCCAACTTTGCAAAGACAGTCTGGTGCTTCATGACTCACAGCCTGTAAGTAAGAATTTGCCACTGATGATTCAAACGCGAGTTTTGAGCAGTGTAGAGTAGCGCTTGTTGTTTGTAGTTTCGCCAATCACAAATGCAGACCAGGTTTTATGTTTACGCGGCGCAATACGCAACACAACGCGTAAAAAGACAGTATAAGTCATTATAATCCGTAATTATGTCCCCACTGGATGCAACAAATGCTCGTTTATAATGGGTTTAAATTTTTTTGTCTCGTCGCGCCAGGACACAGCATCACAGTATGGTAAGGGGCATAACATTTCCGTCACACGCTTGAGGTATTCAGCCAATCACAGCACACCTCGCTTTTTCAGACCGATGAGCTTTGTAAAAATCGACGTGTTTCAGAGAGAAAGGAGAAACAATAATGTACAGTATGTGGAAAATAACTGCATAAACACATTGCATTACACCAAATACACCAAATAATGTTCTTTTTAGCAACGTCATATGACCCCTTTAATTACTACAATATGAATATCCCGCTAGAAAAAGCTGGTCAAAACCTACATTTACACACAACCACCAACCACAACTTTCAGATGCCATTTTTATTTTTTAGCACACAGAATTGAACACACAGGATTGTGGGATATCAAAGGCAGCGAAGGATACATCTATGCTGCCTTCAAAAACCAATCAGATGATGGCATCTTAGAAGAGAAGCTAACAAACAGAAGTTTGGAGAGAAGCGTGGGAAAGAAACAGAAGCCGTTTGCCTTATTACAGTCAGTGTACCATCAGAATGATTCTGAAACTGATATTTCAAGGTAAAAAATTTTGTTGTTTTAAGTGGTGCTCAAATGTTGGCTACTTCATAATAAATACAATATATTAACACAGTGCTTGTCCAAAAAAAATGAAACCTGCTAATACTTTTTTGTTTGTGCAGTTTTCTTGTAATGTATCCTCAGTGGCCAGTTGCTTAAACAGCCACTGTGTTTAGACTGTGTCATAAGAACTTGTCTTACCAACTAGCAAGGGGTAAACAGTCTTAAACTTTTCAGATTCAGAGTAGACCAACCTACATTTTTACGTATCTGACTAAAAAAAGCCCTTGATGACTAACTTGTAAGACTTGTCTAAACAGTTTATGGAACCAGTCACAGTTCTGCTTGGCAAGCTATTCCTATTTTTTGGATCTGTCACCTTATCATGGAAAATTTGTGGTTGGAAAATTGAGCAAAATAAGGGGCGAGTAGGCGACAGATTACAACTCAAGTTACAACTTGATTTTAATTCATCTTCAGAGCAGAGAAAGAGGGGAAAGCCTGATCTAGTGTATCAGTTTGTATTTTATTTGCACGTCCATTGTGTTAACAACTTCAACATACAGTACAAGTCAGCATTAGTGTAACATACTGTATTTAGCATAAACTCACAGCAGTATGCAGATATCTTGCACTCAAAAGCATTACAGTTCACACTTTATGTTAGATGTCCCTGAAGATCATGTAGTGAAATTAGCAGTATTAAGCTGGGTATGTAAAGTACAAGTTATTACACTGTACTATACATTATACATAGACAACTTGCTTGCACTTGCAAATATTGAAAAGGCCAGGAAACAACATGGATCACACTACAGTTGTGGTGAACTAACACTGTTTATCATCTAGGTACAGTGGTTTTAGAGACACCTAAAATAAAGCTGAATCACTGCACTTTAACCTTATCAACACTGCGGTATCCAAATTGACTAATATATTCATTACAATAATTTTCTTCTCAGCTCATTTTCGTCTTTGTTCAGCTTTCAATGTTTCTGTACAACACACAACAGCACAAAAAAACTGAGGGATTGTTAGGGACCAGTGGCAGAGAGAAAAAGAGGGGCAGATAGCACTCCAAAAGAGGAGGTTTACACAAAAAGAAACCATTTCCATTCCAGGTAAAACAGTTAGATACAAGAAGAGCAGAAAGTGCTACTGCCCACCAGTGCATTGGAACAAACACTCATTTACAATTGGTTATATTCATCCTTATGTCTATAGTTATTGATATAAAACAAGCTTTTTATGCCCAAAAGATCTAAAAGGTTCCAAGTAACACAAGGAACCGAGGGTTAAAATAAAGAAAAACACACATGTATCATTTCACTTAGGTTGCATTGTGTAGTTTGGGTTGCTGTTTTTACAAAAGTGGGTTTTGCTGTCATTTAAACCACTAAAAACTGTAATATGTACACCAGTTTTGAAGCAGAAGTTTGAATAGTGAATGCATGCAGGGTTAAAAACATTATAGAGGGTGGAAGAGTTCACTGTTGTAAATGTATAGCTTGGAAGTGAAATAGCAAGACGATGGTTTCTTAATTTTCTTCAAAATGCGATTGGAATGTGATTCATTTACTTCCTAATAAACAATGGTAAATCTCATTATGTGGTCTTAATGACTCACAATGAGCTTGACTGCAGATATCACGGAGAGAACGCTGGGGCTTAATTTACTGCTATATTTTAATTTCACATGTTAAATATGAAATATCTCTAATGAGCCAGTCGATATCTTTTCCTCCTCTCCCCCTCCCACTTTCTGCCTTACCAACTAAATATGCGCTCATTCGCACTGGGAATAGAGCATGTAATTCTGCCTCAGGGGCTGTGGGCACTGAATGACATCAATGGGAACACATCCACACGCACATTACATGCCTTCAAACGTCGACTCACAGGCCTGTCTGAGGCTGCAGTGTGAGCGGCTTCATCGTGGTCACCAACACTCATTTCACTCAGGTGTGAGATATCCACACTGCAAAACATTGGTCCATCTACTTTGGTTAGTTTTCGACAGCTGCCGCTGACTAATGGTTACTGGCTCATGCCAAAATCCCAACTTTGATATGGCCAGTTATTAGTCCTATCATAGTTATTAGGTTTTTGATACACATATATATATATATATATTCTTTCTTTTGAACACAAATCATAAAAATAAATACAGTACTCTGAGAAAGTGCAAAAATTGGTCTGAATCTCAGCTATAAGTCCGAGAATAGACAGGCTTAAAGCCAAACAGGTTAGTGAAGTAATTATGATTTCTAAACTGGGGTGGCTAAATTTAGTTATTTCCACGACACCATTTGTATGTCAAAAGTTCAAATGTATATTTGACGATATTCAATTGTACTATGAAAAAAGAAACGGAAGAGTACTAGTGTTACGCCTTATGATACATTATGTACATCTTGACCAAAGACGTTAAGAATTAGTTTTATGGCCTTAGGAATTAAGTGTGGCGTTAAAAAACACATTTGATGGCAATAGAAACTGTGATGTAAGGGACAGCACACGTAAAATGTACAAATTTGACAACGCGTAAATATGCTAATATCTGTCACATTTGGCTTTGACTGTTAATTGGTGTTTCCCTCCAACCTTTTTGACCAAGCCTTCCCTGATCTCTATGCTATGGTAGCACAGCAACTGGGTCAAAACCTCCTTTGTGGTACAATGGAAATGTGCATAGATGTGCATAAGGAAAAACATTTGAATTTAAATCAATGAATAGTAGATATGTTGAGATACGCTGACAACACGTCATAGAACTGCTTTGTCCAAGTCATCAAGTCAGAGAAATGAACAATAATATATAAGTACAGCTACAAATAAATAAACAGCTACAGCATAAAAACGGGGAAAGTGTAGACTGGCTTTACTATGTGGAACATCAGAGCGTTTTCATAAATCAAATTCATTTTTAATCTTGAGCTGATGGTCTCTAATTTTCAGTTGGCAGTTGGCTGAAAACTTGGCCTTGACACCAGGTTTTGTTTAACTTGACATTTAGAGTTTTATTTTTCTAGAGAATTTTCATCTCAATTTTAGCCGTATTTCAACCTTGTCTTCTGTGGTAAGTATTAGCATGTTAGCAGAAATGCTCATGATGGTGTCCAGTTTATATCCCCTTTAATCCATTTTTATCCTACACTATCAAAACATTCACCCCATTATTCTTTTTAAAAAGTGGACTTAAAACTCACTTTTTCTTACAACCTTCCTTCATCCTAAAAATAAAAGTGTCTCACTATTTCTAGCATTCGGCTAATTGAAAGTAGTGTATGTATATTGTTAATATGGCGGTATACTGGTGAAAGGCTCTGAGGATACTGTGGTATAACTCTCATCCAGGTATAATTCGCTTATAATTGACTTATATAGATAAGTCTAATCAGATGTCTAATCAGAGCCAAAAACCACACTGACGTAGTTATTTTTGCTTTTTTTTCCTCTCTTTTTTTTTCTTTGCTATGATGTATGAGTCTTTTTTGCTACGAGTTTGTTAGAGAACTTTCTAAGTGTCTTTTCCGTTAGACTGCTCCTGGTCCTATGTCCTGACACATCCGCATCCACTTATTCACCTATCTGTACAGGGAAAAGGAGAGGTTGTTAAATGGGCTTCTTTCTATAGAGGGGCTGATAGGAAGGAAGTGGTATAATAGATTTTGCTTTCCCCATGTGTTAGCCAGACACTAGTACTCTATAAGATTATGCCACTTGGCAATCTGCCGCCTTGGGTTGTCACAGACTTCCCTCCAGTGAGTCACCCCTGATGAAATGGGGCTCTGACCACCCAGAACCAGGCGACCCACAACCTCATTCTTCGTGGTGCGGTCAAAATCGATGACCAGAAACTCCACAGAGATGTCCGGCATAAGCTCAGCGGGAACATCGTAGATAAACGATTCATTGAAAACGGGACTGAGTGTGCATTTCTTCACGTGAGTCTTCTTCTTGGCTATGCGCTTGCGGCCGTAGAAGACGTTCACTTTAACATAAGGGTCTGTAGGTGGAGAAGGGAAATAAAGACATGAGAATTTGGTTAATGACAAGTTTTTGGCATCATAAACGGGATCATCTGAATATCTATATATTTGTGTGTATGTGTGCTGTGTACTTACTGCCTGACAGGCCTGTGATGTCCATGGTTGGCAGGTGTTTTGCCTTAAGGACTACCACATTAAGCCTGTGAGTAACAGGCTGGTAGGACAGAGAGACTAGCAACTCCCCATGACTTTCACACTATGGAGAAACAGAACAGAAATTGAGCACAAGAAATGGCACACAAATGTTTATAAGCCTAAACAAAACTCAATCAGACGAATGACTAAGGACATGATGATGAGCCACCCTGTGATCACTCAGCTCTTTCAGACTCTGTCCAAAAGTAAAGTAAGCCTGGCACAATCATCCATGCATCGCTCCAAGTGTAGTGGCAACAAGGGGAACAATACCCATCACCTAGTGTTGTAGTCAAGACCAGCTATTTCGAGTCGAGGCATGAGTACAGTCAGAGTAATAATTTAGACCAGAAGAGGGTCAAGTCCGAGTCAAGTCAAAGACCTGAAGAGCGTGTGAACAATTCAGAAAGTGTAAATAAGATTTCCTTTTAGGATGTATGAAGTCTGGTTTTGCTTCAATGTCACACAAACCTCTGCAGCACACACACACACAGCGTGCTTCTGTCTGAAGACAAAATAGCACAGAGAGGATCCTATGAGTCAATACAGGCCACAAAAAGTATCCACACTGTTGTAGTACTCAAGACCGGACTGTCCAAATGCTACCCAGATTATGAAAAGTTCAAGACCATGAAAATATGGTCTTAAGCTTGGGCTTGAGACACAGTCTTGTCGTGAGTACTACTGAGTACTGCCCTCACTCTTGTCCAAGGGCCTGCAGTGCCCATGGCCATCATAGCCAACTCTGTTTCAGAGTATTGAGGGACCTAATGGTATCCCTGATCCTGGGACAAGGTAGGGTTTGCAAATTATTAGATTAAGAGCTGAGCAAGTCTTGCAACACAACTCTGTTCTCCTGGCATTCCTGGTCGCTGGGACAAAGCCTGACTAAAAGTAAGATAATGTTGTGTTGTAGACCTTGTTTTTGGAAATTATCTCTGGAATGTCCTTTGGCCAAGAACGGGGTGTCCAATGTCCTGGTCCAATTCCAAAGTTTAGCTCCAACCAAATTAAACACATATGAACCAAGGTAAACGTCCTGGCAGGTATGTTGGGACAAGTTGCAGCTAAACTCTGCAACACCTCCTGGCCCTCCAGGACATGGACTTGAACACCCCTGGCCAAGAGGAACAACAAAATGACTGCAGGATACACTGCTGGTGTTAAGACTTTAAAAATATTGTCTGGCATCAGTAAAGTCAAGGTACTTCAGCAATCCAGAAGCACTGGCAGTACAGGGCCTTTCCTTTCGGTATGCATGGGGTACTTTCCTTGTCCCATATGATGTAACTCAGACTACCTGGATGAAGTCATTATCCACTTGGGGCGCTAAAAGGAACACCTACTTTATCTCCTGAACAGTGAAATTGACCATATAAGGAGAGCATTCACTCCATTTACAACAGAGCCTGTCCTGCTCACACGGGACATTAAGTTGCCACTTATTCTCCAGATGGACAAGTTTGAAGGAGAACTGTAATGGTGAGCCATCTGTGCACCTGTCAGTTCTCCCTGTGCAATGGTGATCATATGGTCATGAGGGTAAGCAGGGTGGAATAATCAAAGGCACCTGTCCACTGTCATAAGAGAAGAGGACAAAAGGAGCGTTGGCATCTCTGCAACCCATGGTTCAGCTCCCACAGGACATTTATTTCTAACTCTGTCTCTTGTATCCTGACACTTCTGAGCACTGAAACCTTCAACAACCACCACCTAAAACAACATAAGGTGACATTTAACCCAACTCTTCACAGGTTTTTAACCATGGGTTATGAAGCCTTAATGCAGTCCTCATTAAATGTTCATGTGCTTTGTACAGTTGCTGAGTTTAGTTTCAGTGCTTTCACTATCCTTCAATGGTGGAACAAGCATCCAGCCCCAACCTGATGAAGGAGAACTGTAATGGTGAGCCATCTGTGCACCTGTCAGTTCTCCCTGTGCAATGGTGATCATATGGTCATGAGGGTAAGCAGGGTGGAATAATCAAAGGCACCTGTCCACTGTCATAAGAGAAGAGGACAAAAGGAGCGTTGGCATCTCTGCAAGCCATGGTTCAGCTCCCACAGGACATTTATTTCTAACTCTGTCTCTTGTATCCTGACACTTCTGAGCACTGAAACCTTCAACAACCACCACCTAAAACAACATAAGGTGACATTTAACCCAACTCTTCACAGGTTTTTAACCATGGGTTATGAAGCCTTAATGCAGTCCTCATTAAATGTTCATGTGCTTTGTACAGTTGCTGAGTTTAGTTTCAGTGCTTTCACTATCCTTCAATGGTGGAACAAGCATCCAGCCCCAACCTGATTGCTAAGACCACAAAAAACAGCTTAAGATATAAATAAAGCCATTCATTACCATTTAAAAAGACATCCTTTTCTGTACCTTTTTCTGTTTCTGCACTTTCATTTCTGGTTTAGACTGAAATGGAAATAAATAAGGAATACATTTTCCAGTAAAAATATTGAAATACATTCGCAAAATTGCAAGTTAATAAGATTATTAATACAGAGTATACCTCGCCACTGGCAAATTGTAAGCTTATACCCTCTCTACTGTTAGCTCAAAACAAGTAAAAAAACTATTTTAAATTTAAACGCAATAAGAAAAACGAACTTCGAAAAAGTCATGTTATTTACACTTTCATAGTCTCATGCAGTTTTGATTCTCAGGTAAATGCTTAGACATTTTACTGCACAACAAAACAAAAGTACAGATTGAAAAAGAAAACGATGCAGATTTATGCAGATTTTTTTGGGACTGCTAATATTGCTTTCTATAAAAGTATCTAGTTAAATGAATAAATATAATAATTTTTTTTTCTGTGGCTTCTTCCACATCACATGAAAAGACTTTACTTCTTATTTGTTCTCTTGCCATCTCTGTTGTTTTCCTCTTCTTTGAGAGTAAAGATTCCAGTCCTGTTCCTGCTTATCACCATGACAACTTGCATTAGGAGGCATCCTGGAACTAAACATGGACTTAAAACAACCCACGTCTTAATGCGTAATGTCTGTAAGTGTTTGTGATTTTCTTTTTAGCTGTACAATGAGGCACAGTCTCTGCAGGTAACTTTGCTTCTCATATGCCTGTTGGCTTGTGTAATTTGACCAATAGATACATTGGACCAGGTTAATAAAATATTGGGTAACTAATATCAGTTTAGGGACAAATTCTCTCTTAACTAGTTGTTTATTAGCAGGCATATTACTAGCATATTGGCTGTTTATTAGTACTTATAAAGCACATATTAAAGCCTTATTCTGTATGACTGTATTTTTGATCCCTTCCACCCCACACCTAAACTTAACAACTACCTTACTAACTATTAATAAACAGCAAATTTGGAGTTTATTTAGGCATAAGTCACAGTTAACAGTTAATAGTGAGAATTCATCCCCAAACTAAAGTGTGACAGCATATTGAATATATGTGCATCTTTATATAAATGTATAAAGACGCACATGTTAATGTTACACCATGTTTCACTTGTATCTCATACTTGTTGAGCTTTGATAATAATCCAATTTACCCATGCAAATGACTGGATGTAATGTGTAAATAAATTATCTATTAAAAAAATTGTTACCCAGATAATGTTTCTCCATAATTTATGAGATTTGGAGGTAATGCTTGAGTAAATTTGAGGATTTGTTGTACATCTCTAAAGATGCATGAGGGATTATGCTTTAGATACGGTCAATATTGTACATTTAAGTGTCTATTCAAAAGTACAAAAATGTACATGAACACTTTAAAACAGATCCCTAATATGAATGAGATCATTCTGTTTTCGCCTCTGCATTAACAAGGCTACTCTAAATCGACACACATTCATTTTCTTTATCTTCCATGAAAATGTTCTTGAAGAAGAGCTACAAGCAAGCGTAACCCGCTGTATGTCACTCACTCTTCATAATCACCCATCTCTCTCTCTCTCTCTCTCTCTCTCTCTCTCTCCCAATCTCTCTCTCGCCGCACGGACTGCACCCCATCTGTTTCCTGAGCTTTTTCTCCTTCCTTCTCTCACTCTCTCTCTGTCTTTCTCTTGGCTGAATCGATTATCCACCACTCCCAGCCAACACCCTAATACTCCCGTCTTGTGGAGCCATAGGCGCTGATTCAATTTAAGATGCTCTCTCTGTAGAACAGTATAAAGCAGACAGGAAGTTCTCTGATTTCAACAAGCTTACTCTGCATATTTTGTATACTGATTTACAAAGCCGTACACAAGCTCGCCGCACGGACTGCACCCCATCTGTTTCCTGAGCTTTTTCTCCTTCCTTCTCTCACTCTCTCTCTGTCTTTCTCTTGGCTGAATCGATTATCCACCACTCCCAGCCAACACCCTAATACTCCCGTCTTGTGGAGCCATAGGCGCTGATTCAATTTAAGATGCTCTCTCTGTAGAACAGTATAAAGCAGACAGGAAGTTCTCTGATTTCAACAAGCTTACTCTGCATATTTTGTATACTGATTTACAAAGCCGTACACAAGTGGGAAAACAAGCTCAAATACTTATTTGCCTTCGAGCACTAAAGATTTCCTGCCACCAGAGAGAATGAGATTATGAACATCGCTTATAATGCTATTGTTCCAGTTTTGATGGAAATACAGCAGCGTATTAGGCTATGATTACTTGTTATGCAACAACTTTTAACAGTGTTCGGCTTGTGTTTGAGAGCAAATGGGTGCAAAGCCTTCCTCATAACTCTCTCTATGTCACAGATCGGCCAGACTCAGTCACCTCCCAATCATCACAACAATCCCTCTCACCTGAGCTTTGAGCACCTGCACCTGTCACCAATCAAGCACCTCATTACCAGCCTGCATAAAAGCACACACCTCAGACACCCTCACTGTCCGGTCTCGTATACACGTAGAGGACTCAATGACTTTGCTACTGCTTCCATTTGAATATTTCCTGCATTACTTACCTCCTGTGTTCCTCCTAGTGTCTCCTCGTCTCCAAGTGTCTCCTGTTCCCGGATCGCTGAGGTGTGTGCTCCTCCTGCCTGCATTCCAGCTCCTGTACAGCCAAAGGCCCGGATTACCCCG